CCCGCGAAAATCGAGCGAGGGAAAAGCCGGTAAGTGTGCAGTGCAGAGGTGCTGCTGCAACCACATATGCTGGCTGCAGCAGCACCATACTGCAACAGGGGTCAGCAAGTGTCATTGGTGTCAGTGGGAGGAATAGTGCCGCATCATTGGTGTCACTGATACTAATGATGGGGCATTATTCCTCCCACTGACACCAACGATGGGGCACTATTCCTCCCACTGACACCAATGATGGGGCACTATTCCTCCCACTGATACTAATGATGGGGCATTATTCCTCCCACTGACACCAACGATGGGGCACTATTCCTCCCACTGATACCAATGATGGGGCACTATTCCTCCCACTGACACCAACGATGGGGCACTATTCCTCCCACTGACACCAATGATGGGGCACTATTCCTCCCACTGATACCAATGATGGGGCACTATTCCTCACACTGACACCAATGATGGGGCACTATTCCTCCCACTGATACCAATGATGGGGCACTATTCCTCCCACTGACACCAATGATGGGGCACTATTCCTCCCACTGATACCAATGATGGGGCACTATTCCTCCCACTGACACCAATGATGGGGCACTATTCCTACTTATAACAATTTTATAGACAAATGATACTATTTACAGTCGCGCGGGTGGGCGCGAAATGTTTTCTTCTTCCTAGGGGGGGGGCATGACAGAAAATAATTGAAAAGCACTGTTCTAAAGCTAAGGTTTCCATAACCGCGGCTGCAGATATGGAAACCTTCGCAGTGATGTGCTGGGCATTCCTACAGTGTGTGCTGTGCCTGTGCGAGCGGCGGGTGCTAAGTTGTCACCTGCCGCCCGCAGAAGTAGTTGTAGTAAGCACGGACCCTCCCCCCCCCCCCCCGACTTCCCCTGCAGAGGTACCTGTAGTTGAGCAGAGTTGGCCCCCCCTCGAGCCCGCAGCAGCACATCCTGGACAGTGTGACAGGCTCGGGCTGTCACAGGCAGCGTTAAGGAGGCTGGCACATCACACATTGACTAGTAGGTGCCTCATTTCCCACCCTCGGCTTATACTCGAGTCAATAGTTTTTCCCAGTTTTTTGTGGTAAAATTAGGTACCTCGGCTTATATTCGGGTCGGCTTATACTCGAGTATATATATATATATATATATATATATATATATACACACACACACATTGGGTATAGAAAAGAATCACCCCCTTTTAAATAATTAAATTTTGTTGCTTTAAATCACTGATTTAGGAAAAGGATCACCCCCTTGTGTCAGTATTTTGTTGAACCACTTTTTTCTTTTATTACAGCCTTTGTTCTGTTGGGATATGTCTCTACTAACTTTGCACATCTAGACTTGGTAGTATTTGCCCACTCTTCTTTGCAGAACTGCTCAAGTTCACTTAAAGTTGATGGTGACCATTTGTGGACTGCAGTCTTCAAGTCATTCCTCAGATTTTCAATGGGGTTTAAATTTGGACTCTGACTAGCCCATGCGAAGATATTCACCTTTTACTCCTTCAACCACTGTGTGGTCATTTTTGCTGTGTGCTTTGGGTCATTGTCGTGTTGGAAAGTAAACCTTCTTCCTACTGACAACTTTCTGGCAGAGGGCAGCAGATTTTCCTCAGTATGACGGTATTTTGCACCATCCATTTTTCCTTATATCCTGACAAGTGCTCCAGTCGCTGCTGCAGAGAAACATCCCCATAACAGGATATTACCTCCTCCGTGCTTTGCTGTAGGAATGGTGTTATTTGGATGGTGAGCTATATTGGAATTCCACCAGTTATATTGTTTAGTGTTGAGGCCAAATAATTAAATTTTAGTCTCATCTGACCATAGCACCTTTTTCCGTGTGGCTTCAGAATCTTCAAGGTGCGTTTTGGCAAATATCAGTCGTGACTGCATGTGGCCTGTCTTGAGGAGTGGCTTTTTTCTTGCAACCCTCCCATATAAGCCACATTTGTGGAGAATTTATGATATTGTTGTCACATGCACACAATGACCACTCTGTCATAAATTCCTGCAACTGCTTTAGAGTTGCTGTAGGTCTCTTGGTTGCCTCTCTGACCAGTTTCCTCCTGCATCTTTCATCCAGTTTAGAGCAACGCCCTGATCAAGAGGGTCTGTGTTGCACCAAATACCTCCCACTTCTTAATAATAGACTTCACTGTGCTTCTAGGCATTGATAAAGCCTTTGAAATGTTTTTTGTATCCATCTCCTGACTTGTCATATGACTACGTCCACAACTTTATCCCGCAGATCTTTTGACAGTGCCTTGCTACCCATAGTTGATTGTTTGCTTCAGTTGCACTACCGGGACTAAAATGCTCCAGGAAAGCTCTTTTCATGCTGAGTTAATAAAAATGACCACAGCTGATCACAGTTGAAAGTCAAATGGCTTTTTGTGCCATTGAGAAGATGATTAGCTACACCTGAATAAGTTTGCAAGTAATTTTTAGGAGAGGTGATGTTTTTTTTCCTGATATGTTGGTGTTATATATTTGGCTTGGATGTTATAAGTTGCCCTGAGTAAATTCAGCTGGATAAAACATAAATTGTGTCTGACTTTATTTCAGGCTGCAAAGCAACAAAATGTGATTATTTTAAATGGGGGTGGTTCTTTTCTATAGCCATTATATGTGTGAGTATAGATAGATAGATAGATAGATAAATAGATAGATAGATATTGAGGGATTATTAGCTCAGTGGTAGTAGCAGTTTTAGTGAGATCCTCTTAGTCCAAATTTAATTTAGAGCTTGTTGAACCAGCTTTTTTTAAACATCAAAGTAAAAGTTGTCCATTCACACACAGAGCCGTGGTTTGGCCCCGCCCCCTCGCTCTCCTCATTAGCTGACTGTTCATGATTGACAGCAGTGGGAACCAATGGCTCCCACTTGCAGTCTCAGCCAATGAGGAGGCAGAGACCCAGGACAGCCCACGCTGTCATTCACACCGCTGGATCGCGATAAGGCTCAGGTAGGTATGGAGGGGGCTGGGGGAGCTGCTGCACACAGAAGGTTATTTACCTTCATGCCTTTACAACTACTTTCATTTTGTTACGGATGCAGAGGAATGGATACATCCCTACAGGGCACATATGAGAAGTTTAATCAAAAGTAGGAGACTTAGAAGAATTTTGTCTCTCTGAGTGGAGGACGGCATAGAACAAATTCGACTTAATAATATATAAATACAAGAACATATATAAATACAAGACATACTAGAGTTTATTTCTTTGTATATAAAACGGTTCTCCGAGCGCTCTCTCCATTTTTTTTTTGTTTTGTTTTTTCCTCTCTTCTTGTTGTTTACGTAGTCATATGAAAATGTGATAATATATTTAATATAAGTCAAGGTAGGAGGAGTAGTGTAGGGCTGTCTTGTGTCAGGGATATACAGTAGGTATAGTCTTGTAACAGGATTTGTTCTAGAGTATGTGTTTTTTGTATTTTTATTTTTTATATATATATGTAATGGAAAATAAGAAATAAAGATTATTTTAAAAATCACAGATAAATAAATGCAGATAAATAGACAGCCCCGCTTCTCTGTAGTAAGGCATTGCAGGCAGAAGAGACAGTGCCAAGCTAGCTTTTTCAGGAAAGGTAAAGTTTTCTACAAAACTTTAAAGTGTCTGTGTTAGTACAACTTAAAAAACACATTCAGTTTATTTGACGAATACATGTACATCCCCCATGTGCAACATTAGCAGTGCTTTCAGGATAGGCAGGTGCTGGCCACATTTCTGGCAGGATCATCGGGATTTTTATACTACATGCAGTTGAATATACCCCTAGATCTACTGAAGGTTTTTACATGCGGTTTTCACTGTATGTTACCACTGCTTATCTCATATGCTCAGTTTGAATTGCTGATATATATATATCATAAATGCTTACAGTTCCAATAAAATGAAAAAAACAAAAAAACAGATGTGACTTATATTACACTTGCTGAGCAACAATACAATCTGCATAGGGTGTATATATGTTTTTATTGATGTTGCTTTACTTGTTACAATAGAGTATATTCTGCACCAGAAAAAATAGGTGTTTGACTAAATTCAGTTAGATTCTTCATTTTATGACTTTGCCCAGCTTCTGTAAGAATATGAGGAATGTGAGTGGATAGCAAAAACAAACTAGAAAAGCTACAATTTCTGGGGAAATTATGTGAAGTGTTCTTGCCTCCACCAGTAGTCTACAACTGGAGTGGGCGGAGTAACTGGTGGAGTGGCTTGTCACTCTGCTGCCTGCTCACACACCTGGGTTCCTATGGCAACTCACTCTACAGCAAGGGCAGAGAAGAGCGGTTAAAAACAAACTGCTCCAACTAGTTCACTTCACTGGTGGTTGCCTCTTCAAATGGTTGTAGTTTAAAAATTATAAATCGTACACCGAAGAGCTTTATATTGTGAGAATCACAAGACCCAAACCTACATTTTGATGCATAGTATGTCTCTGAAATATTAAAAATGAAGGCACAGTCGCAGTTTAGAGATTGCCCTTCAAATTAGAGGTGGCTAGAGTGGAGTTTCAATGAATGTCAATGGGTGCCGTGAGTTGCAAACAAATGGTCATATTGTGAAAACTATCAGGACTATGGCTTAGCCGTGGACATTTTTAGTGGCCGCAGGGATAGCTGAACGTTTTGATACAAGATTTGTGTAGGTGGGCTTAAAAATGAGGGAGTGATGGCAGTTTAGAAATCATGTCCTGATTTTTCAGGACATTCCGCCATTCATTCCTATGGGACCAACCACAAAAACGCCGATATTTCGTGAACCATTCGGCGAAACGTTCCACAAAGTAATAGCACAGGGAGCAATCCGCACGTTTCGGTATATTACTGTCTATGTAGTGTAAAAACTGTGGGAGGAGTTAGGGTGGTAAATTTGGCTATAATAAGAATATATATGTGAGATAACAGTAAGTGTTCTTGCCATGCAACTTAATAAAAGATTTTTATGCTACATTGATAATTTGTTGTTTTTCATTCAGGATGGCAGTCTGGTTGTGGCAGATTTTGGGTTGGCTCGATTAGTAACAGATGAAGCTCGGGACCTGCGGAAAGACAGAAGGAAACGGTACACTGTGGTGGGGAATCCTTATTGGATGGCACCAGAAATGATAAACGGTGAGCATGATTGGGATGTGATTTGAGCTAATAGGAGGACACAGTGTCTTTTTAGATGAAGTTTTTTGGAATGTGCCCTAAGCTTTATATTATGTTTCACAAGTTCAATCCTTCATATGCTTGTACTACATATTGCAAAGTAGCCAGTAGCTTGCTAGCTGCTTTGAACCATTTTTTTACTGTGTTTTTAGGTTGGGGTATTACTACTTACATTGCTCCCACAGTTGATTTGTTCACACCAAGCTGCTTGCCTATTGCAGATTCAGTCTTCCCAGCCTGGTGCAGGTCTACAATTTTGTTTCTGGTGTCCTTCGACAGCTCTTTGGTCTTCACCATAGTGGAGTTTGGAGTGTGACTGTTTGAGGTTGTGGACAGGTGTCTTTTATACTGATAACAAGTTCAAACAGGTGCCATTGATACAGGTAATGAGTGCAGGACAGAGGAGCCTCTTAAAGAAGAAGGTACAGGTCTGTGAGAGCCAGAAATCTTGCTTGTTTGTAGGTGACCAAATACTTATTTCCACCATAATTTGCAAATAAATTCTTTCCAAATCAGCCAATGTGATTGTCTGGATTTTTTTTCTCATTTTGTCTCTCATAGTTGAGGTCTACCTATGATGCCAATTACAGGCCTCTCTCATCTTTTTAAGTGGGAGAACTTGCACAATTGGTGGCTGACTAAATACTTTTTTGCCCCACTGTATATAGGATTCCTCTCTATATATCAGATCTCTTCATGTATCGGACCTTTCCCTCTTTTCTCTGTATAGATCGGATCTCCGTATAGTAGTTTCACTCCCCCTGTATACACAATTGCTCAGTATAGCTGATATATCCATGTATCTGACCCTCCTTTCTCTTTGCATAGTAGATTTCTATATATAGAGGATCTCTCCATGTAACGGAATTCTGTATTTACGAATAGTAGATCTCTGTCTGTGGGACCCCTCTCTGTACATGGGATCTCTCTGTGATTTGTATTTCTGTCTCTATATAGTTGATCTCTCCCAGTCTCTCTCTGTATATGGGATCTCTCTGTATACAGATTCATCTCTCTTTCTCCCTTCTGTCTCCCTTTCTTCTTCCCCCCACCCTCTCTCTCTCCTTCCCCCTCTCTCTCCTTCTATCTCCCCCTCTCTCTCTGTATAGTAGACCTCTCTCTCACACTTTCGGGGCCCCCATAGCTCTCTCTGTACCTCTATAAAGTGGTTCTGGCTCTCTGTAGGTCATGTGTAGTCCCTTCACAGCTAGGCTGGGCATGGTGTGGCCCCTGAACACTCCTCCCAGAGAGTCAGTTCAGACCCTGCCCCCTCCTCACTCAGTTTTTCCATTAAGCAGAGTGGCCAGCTGTGCATTGTTCCAGGGGGACCGGGCTGGATCAGCTTGGGAGAATCACTTCTGAAGACTCCAGTTCCTCCCACACTGGGGCGGGACAGCAGGGGGAAGATACACAGGTACAGCCACAAAGCGGGAGGTGAACGGCAACTGCGGTCTGGATAACCCTGTGCCGAGCGCGGTTGGCACTTGTCTTATGCTCTGCGGTCCGGCCATTAACAGGCCACGGACCGGTCTGTGGCCTGGGGGTTGGGTCCAGCGGTCCCAGCCCACTGGGAAAGTGGCCAATCCAAGCCTGATGTTGTCTAACATGTCAGATTTAAACCGCAGCTGGATTTTTTAATAGCACAGGCTTACCTATTGCAACTTAATTGAAGTTTGACTACAGTTAACTGAATGCTGATTGGTGACTGGGTTGCTGTGATTTATCTTTGAAGTTATTTATTTAGCAAGGTCATTGTAAAGCCAGTGGAAGTAAAGTAGCCCATAGATGAGTGTTTTTTTTTTTCTTTTTATTCAACCAGCAGGTTGAATAAAAAAAAATTACTTGATTCCCCTATCCACACAATTGAGGTGGATAGGGGAATCCTCACGCTGATCTATTGTATTCTGACAGCAGAGGGACAAAATTCTACTGGTCCCTGCTGAAATGGCCAAATTTCAACCCATGTATGGCCGACTTTACATTCAGCTTTCACACCTTCAGTCATGCCTCAATCAACTTCTGCCTTGATATATTCATAATAACGTGATGTTTGGATTAAAGTGGTATTAAACCCAAAAACAGAAATGGTATATATTGCAGTTTTAGGTGGACTTGACTAATATATTTAAGCCAAAATCCAGCTAACACTTTTTGTATTTCAATGGTTTTTATTAATTAATAACAATTAACACAGGAGCAACAAATCACGCCCATGCAGGGGCTATCAATTGCACATAAAAGAAGTAGAAAATTAAAGAAATCAGTGCTCTAACACCAACAGGGCAAAAGATCGCCCCAGCTAACACTTTTTAAGAAGTTACAGCAACAGTTTTTCTCCATTTGGGATAATGGTTTTACATAAATAAATCAAAGTTGACCATTGTAGGCACTTCTGCCAATTAATTTTGCTGCACAGCTTGGTCTGGTAAAGGAAATTAAAAAATAACAGACTTGCTGACCAGAGGGAAAAAAAAGGGAAAAAGCCTACTAAAAAGGAAATGAAAAAGAAATGCAGCCACCACACCTAAAAATTGGTAAGACAATAATAATGAATTTTTGCTTTTCAATTTAATACTGCTTAAAAGTGACTAAAGCTGGCCGTACACACACAGGCAGAATGGAAAAAAATCTAGCAGATTCCTCAATCCATAAACAGCACGGATGGAAAGAAATCTCAAGCTGCGGCTAGTGTAATCTGACAGCCACCACCGCTGGCTGTAAATATACCCAAACAATTGGATGCAGGCTCTGTTTGGCCAACAATTTTACATCTGGCTATTTCAATTGTGCAGTTGGAAAAAGTCGGGCAGACAGGTGCAAAAAGGGCCACACACAGAGCTAATTTTGACCAGTTCCGCTATGGTCGGTTTAAGTTATTACTTGTGTGGATGGGAAAACAAATACAGATTGCTTTTAGATGTATTTAGCGTGCATTTGAGATCAGTTTGAGATGCTTCTGAGATCATTATGAGTCCCTTCAGAGGTGGTCATTTTAAGCTGGATTCAAGCTGTTTTAAGTGAGAATTCCCCTCATAGAAAGTTATTATCAGAACACATTTCTAATCTATTTCTGTAAAAAAACAAAACCTCAGCGCTGAGGACTTCCTATTTACCATACAAATCCCCGTGAGATGCTGCTGTGCACAGGTACAAAGGACCAAAAACTTTTAACAATGAAAACCAGCGCAAACCCACATGATCAATTACATTACTCAGTTTAAAAAAAAACATTAATGTGCTAATAAAGTAAATTATATATAAAATATATTGATATATAAAAATTTAAAATTATAAGTCCAGTGACAAAAAAGCAAAGTGACAAAAAATCAAAAAAATCAAAAAAAAACCCCAGAAAATATATATATATATATATATATATATAATTACAGTCCCGTGACAAAATTAAATCAAATTAAATTATAATATATTTTCCATTTGATTCTTCCGTGTTACTGATCCCTTCACCATCCACCAGTGCAGAAATCAACATTAACCGCACTCACCAGATAATGGTGAGTCACACGCCTTTCAGGATTGTTAAGGGCTCCTGGACCCCCTTTACTTTGTCTGAGACCTCCAAGTGCTGTTTCCTCTTATGTCTAGGTACCTCTTCTGCTTACTCCTCTCACCGAATCCCCCAAAGGAAAATCAGGAAGAAGAAAAGACCATAGCGTGATACCGCAGTAACTTCTCCTCAAATTAATCTCTCCAGACCACTCACATTCTTTTGCGGGGTATAGCCCACTTTTTATTCAAAACAACAGCGATTCTCTTCAAGAATGATCCACTTTTCATGTACACCGATTATACAAGGACCCCACAGTTTAGTGTGCAGCAGGATGGCAGACCTCAGCTACAGACTCTTCTACTTAGGCTAAGATGGCCCCTTGGAACGCACCGCTCGGCGTGCGCTCCACTCACCGGAAATGACGTCAGACGACGGACCAGGCAACCGGAAGTGCGTCAACGCGTTTCGCCCCACCCACAGGGCGTTATCAAGACGTCTTGATAACGCCCTGTGGGTGGGGCGAAACGCGTTGACGCACTTCCGGTTGCCTGGTCCGTCGTCTGACGTCATTTCCGGTGAGTGGAGCGCACGCCGAGCGGTGCGTTCCAAGGGGCCATCTTAGCCTAAGTAGAAGAGTCTGTAGCTGAGGTCTGCCATCCTGCTGCACACTAAACTGTGGGGTCCTTGTATAATCGGTGTACATGAAAAGTGGATCATTCTTGAAGAGAATCGCTGTTGTTTTGAATAAAAAGTGGGCTATACCCCGCAAAAGAATGTGAGTGGTCTGGAGAGATTAATTTGAGGAGAAGTTACTGCGGTATCACGCTATGGTCTTTTCTTCTTCCTGATTTTCCTTTGGGGGATTCGGTGAGAGGAGTAAGCAGAAGAGGTACCTAGACATAAGAGGAAACAGCACTTGGAGGTCTCAGACAAAGTAAAGGGGGTCCAGGAGCCCTTAACAATCCTGAAAGGCGTGTGACTCACCATTATCTGGTGAGTGCGGTTAATGTTGATTTCTGCACTGGTGGATGGTGAAGGGATCAGTAACACGGAAGAATCAAATGGAAAATATATTATAATTTAATTTGATTTAATTTTGTCACGGGACTGTAATTATATATATATATATATATATATTTTTTCTGGGGTTTTTTTTGATTTTTTTTGATTTTTTGTCACTTTGCTTTTTTGTCACTGGACTTATAATTTTAAATTTTTATATATCAATATATTTTATATCTAATCTATTTCTGTCTAACCTTTCCTTTGTTACTTTATTAAATTTAGAAAAAAAGGTTTTGTTCATATATATCCTTTAAGATTTTTTTGTTATTAACATTCCTATAGACAGTAATAAACTGTTGAGAAATATTTGATTCCAGAACTTGTTAAAAACAAGTGAAACTCAAGTGATAAGGCTAGGTTCACACCTATGCAGTTTGCGTTTGATATGTTTCTGCAGTTCGTTTTGCGTTGCGGTTTTGATGTGTTTTGCAGGGGTTTTTTTTCTTGTAGTTAGGCAGATTAAAAATGCAAAACACATCAAAAATTCTGCAAAAACACACTACATGCTTTTCTACAGCTTTCCATTGAAGTCTATAGAACAAAAAACGCAACATTTTGTGTTTAAAAAAGTCCCTGACCCTTTCCAAAAAACGCACCAGGTAAAAACACAGAGATGTGAACATGTCCCATAGGAACTCATGTTAAATGGACTGTAGTGCATTTCTGCAAAACACTGCAGAAAACGCTTAGGTGTGAACCTAGGGTGCTATGAGACCAAGGTCCTTATTCATGCCATTTATTTGTATCATCATCAATACCCTATGTTACCTTTCTGTGGGTAACTGGGTTGCTTTCTTTTTCTTTACAGGGAGAATCTATGATGAGTCAGTGGATGTTTTCTCCTTTGGAATTGTGATCTGTGAGGTACTGTTACTTACATTGCCAGCTTCTGGTATTTTGTCTGTTCTCTGCACATAAATTATAACAATTCTTTAAAGATTTTCAGATTTTACCTGCCATAACTTCCTGAGATGAACAGATCTTATAATTTGTTTGTTTTCCATCAGATAATTGGTCGTGTTAGTGCAGACCCGGACTATCTCCCACGCACACTGGATTTTGGGTTGAATGTGCGTGCCTTCTTGGACCGATTTTGCCCCCCAAATTGTCCACCAGGCTTCTTTCCTAGTGCAGTATTATGCTGTGACATGGACCCTGAGAAAAGGTAATTTATTCTTTAGTTTAGTCTTACTTGAACGTTGCCATTCAACAGAAGAACTAAGCTGCAGACTGTGCACAGTCTTATGTAGATATAACACTTAACTGGATAACTAAAGTATTAGTTAAGATTTTACATTGGTATGAGAATCAACGTAACATCAGTTTATGTGTGTTCATGGTGCAGTTTGATAGACTTCAGGAAAGGTTTATCGTGAGATAAATGTAAAAACAGAAATACCACTGATATCTTCCTTCACATCTGTGTCAGATATTGATGTATACCGTGTCCAGCTTAGTTTTATACCAAAGGCAAGAATCTTAGAATTCATTTACATTTATCGGGTCTATTGTGGTGCATTAAAGCACATGCTTTATGTTGTGCGTTAACAAGTGATGCATGAAGGTAGCCTGTTCAGTTTAGGCGACTGCCAGTGCACTACAATTGACCGAAAACACCAATACAGCGCACCGAAATGTGTGGGAGTACATTACTGTGTGTTGCGTTGCAATGTGGGTTAAAAATGAATGCCACCACAACACAATGTTCAATGTATGTACGTGTGAATAAAAGTTAAGGGCATGTTAATGCTCATTCCAGAAAGGGTTGAAATTGGCAGAGTGGCAGCTTCAATTTTAAAGGCTTGTAGTCTGCACCACTGGAGACAGCTGCTGATAAGACATGGAACAGTTAATGTGCTAAATCAGGTATGGTCTAGGAACTAGCCATGAGGTCAAGGCAGGTGACAAATGCAGAATTCCATTTTCATGCCAAATCATAATCAGGAAGAACAGAAATTTAGGATCAGATACCAGGAGTCTGGTCAGATCAAAACAAGGATAGGAGATCAGGAAAAATCACCAGAAGACAAGCTGAAGCATAACCAGAGTGGTAGATATTTACAGGAAAGCTTCTCACAGTTCTGCCAAAAAATAACAGATGCCTTTTCTCATGCACTGTCAGTGGACAGTCATAACAGGTGATTGCTGCACATTGCGCACACCTCAGAACCATATACGGTATCTACTAGAGCAGTGGTTCTCAAACTGTGGAATCTCAGGACCCACATTTGTCCTTGGTCATTAAGTCACTACCCAAAAAATAATTTAATTTCCAAAACATTATAATTTATGCCACAAAATAACTTGTGCAGTATTCTACAATGTACATAATTTTACATAATAAAACACTTTTTTAGACTTAAGCTGAGCAATGCCTTCTCTACCTCTCACTCTCTCAAAGGCACACTAAGTTAAGAATATTATTGTCTTCAGCTTTTTAAATAAACAGTATAGTTTGTGCAATATTTGTGTGATGGTTTTCAGTCCCCCCTATTTCATGCACTCCTTCAATCCCCCCTTCCATGCCCTCCTTTAGCCCCCCCTTCCTTTCCCCTTTTAAACTCTTTCATTTTCCATCTTTCATCTCTCTCACCCATCCACAGCCCAGAAAAAGTACCTAGTGGAGTCATTCCCTGGCATCCAGTGCTGCTTTTCTTCCGTCCTGCATGGCTGTCTGGAAGGAAGTGTAGTTATATACCTGTAAACCAGACAAGATTGAGGATTTCACATGCTTTAAGTGGAATTCAAGTCTAAAACTAACTAAGCTTAAAGCTGCCCACCCCCTTCCAACAACTGTACTATGTACCCTGTAGAAGGAAGATGCATATACTTACCAATTTTCAGGGCACTCTGGTCTAGTCAGTTGATCTCCCCAGAGAAGAAGAGAGAATGCCAACAACAGATTGAATGCCTGGACGGTGACGTCACCCTTAGGTTTGCTGTGGGGCATCCATTGTGAGCTGTCCCTTCTCTCCCCCTTGAAGCCGGCTGCTGGGAGCCAATCACATGATCAGACTAGAGCACCCTGAAAATAGGTAAGTGTATGCATCTTTCTTTTACAGGGTAGTTAGTGTAGGTGTTGGAAGGGGGTGCAGTTTTAGCTTAGTTAGTTCTAGACTTTAATTCCACTTTAGGCATATGAAATCCTCAATCTTGTCTGGTTTGCAGGCATCTTGTTGTTCTTAATAATCGGCTGTTAAAATGAACACAATTTAACAATTTTGCCTACTTTGTATGAACTGACAGAACAGCTGTTAGGCTGACATCCACACACATAAAATGTGTGTACCCTGTGCTAATAATATTTAATAATGATTGACAATACAGTTCAGATAAAAATCAAAATCGTGGTAGCTGACCCAGTTTGCCTTGATTTTTTTTTTTTTTTTTTTTAATGACAGAAAGATTCTAAAATTACTATGTCATATTGGTTTGTGGCCCTCTTACATTTAAACAAGGGGAAGGAAATATTCCAACTCCTAATCTGTAAGTTGTAACCTGAATCTTCACTCATGTGGTACATTTTAATTCAGCTGAATATATGTATCAAGGTGTGTTGGTCATCATTTAAAAAAAGGGCATTTTTCTTATAAAAAACGATTTTCTTTGACGGTGGTACCTTGCGCTATTAATAGCAACATATGCTTGGAGAAATGAGGAAGGTGGCTATTGGTGGTCTCTTCTGGTGGTACTTTCTGAATCACTGAGCCAGAAAAACAGAACAATATGCAGAAGAAGTGTTCTGTGTTCATTTGCTGCATGCTTTTTCCAGGACAATGAAGCTGAAGACAGCCAAGTAGCTAGCATTTTCAGGCGTTTGTTGGTAATGGCAGTTCCTATATTTATCTTAGCACAGGTTTCCTTCAAAACAATCCTCTGTAAAATTAACTTACTATTTTTTGTGGCTAGTAGTATTTTTCTAGCCAGTAGTAGTGATGTGTTTGACATTATTTGATCCTCACTGTCTCTTTTCACACATTATTGCAGGCCCAGCTTCTCACAGCTCCAGCTCTGGTTGGACTCATTGCTCAGGCACTTGACTCTTCAGCTCCCTATTAGTTCACATCTTGAGCAGCTCGAGCGAAGCTTTTGGGAGACATATCATAGAGGAGAGAGTACCCTGCACTCCCATCCTGAAATCACAGAATAACACATCTGGCAATGGAGAAGAAACCGAGATACAAATACCCCAGTGTGGTGTGTATGGGGAACTCATGTTGCTTATTTTGCAAGAAGAGGGGATAATATTATCCCTACATCTAGGTTAAATGAAGAGGATCTTTTGTGTCCAAGCTTACTGGTACTGCTTGTGAGCAATGAAGGGAATCCAAAGATACATTCTTGCAGTTCCACAGTTCCATTGGGTGCCTAATGAGTTTAATTAGCTTGTAATGGTCCTTGGACTGTCATTGGTAAAGATGAACAAGGCTTTTTGTGTTCCACTCACTAAACCACTTAGAAAGCCAGTGTGAGTTTTGTGGTTTTAAAGGCGTCATTTCATCACATTCACCCTGCATGACGCCCCTTTTGTTCAAATTTCCTCTAAAAAGGAGCATTCTGCACCTTGTGTATATACCTGTATGTATATTTAGACCCTCCTGTACATATCGTCCTAATGTTTGTGACTTGAGCCTGTCACCCCCGATCTCTTGTTCATGTTGCCAAGAAGAGCTTACTGGTTTTTCTCTGTCCAAAGCATTCTGGGCCTGGGAATTATTACCTAAAAGGACCATTATGCACGTGGGTATAAAAACAGTGAAGAATTTGTGATGTAGGCCAACTGTCTTACACAAAATAACACATTTCATTTCTTGTTATGTGTCTACACATTTAGCACTTATAGATTGGTTAGAAGCTTTTAAAACCACCAGCATAAAAATGTTTGCATATGTTCACTGTTAGCTCAGTTTCTAACTTGCAGCACCTCTAGGGGTTTCTGTATACCCCAGAAGAAAATAACATTACTTAGGTGTCAACCTATTCTATTTTATGTAGCTTGAAAATGGTAATTGTCCTGACATGAGAGCATAATTAACAATGGGCTATCTGCCTAAAAGCCAGTATGTATGTAGAAGTTATGTAATAAATGTATAGCTTGGGGATGCATTTGCAAGTACAGTAGCTAGATGAAAATGAAATGAGGCTACTTAAGGCTTCCTCTGATGCTCTCTTTTACAGGTTTGCTGTGTTCTATAAGTGCACTTCATGTCCCCCCCCCATTATGTTACATATGACATCCATAAGTCTTTGTTTTCCTCTGTGCAGCAGTTTGCACATTTAAATAGCCCACGGTTTTGCCTTATCTTATGTATGTGGAAAGTATTTCATAAGGGACACATCAATATTGATATTTTTGGTACATTTAAGGTTCTAAATGCTGAAATGCCCATACTATATAATGCTGAATGTAGGTTTGCCGAATCTAATATGGATTTTGCAGGCCATGCCTTTCCTGCACATTGGAAGGTAGGTTTTTGTTCTTGTCTAGGTTTCCTATAAACAACTGTTGATTTCTCTCACAAAAAATCTGACATTAATAGAAAATTTTACATGACAATCGCAGGTTTATAGCCATTTTGTTTTAGCTCTGGAACAATCAGAACACAGTCATCGAAATGCCATATCAAAATATGGTAGCAGCACAAGAAATTATCCTCATAATATGCAATCATACTCCACCAGTAGTTAGAATAAAAAAGATACATGTCCATCAAGTAGTGGGCATTCTACATAACAAAATCCACCCCTTCAATGTTACAATGTAGGTGTCACTCATACAGAGGACAAGCAGTTTTTTGTTTTTTACACTTAATCAATTTTGAAGGTACAGAATACATAATCAGTTGCACTTAAAGCTGCAGTGCTGTCAGTAGATGCTAATAAATTAGAAAGATTAATTCTTTACTGTAGGTCATCCTTAGAAACTGTCTGCCTTCAATGACTGGTATACTTTGCAATAAATCGAATTTGTAGGTGTTCTTGTAATAAAGATCTGCTGATAAAATGTACAGATTTACAAAGGTTTCCATACACAACCTTAACCCAGACCTATACTCAAATTCAAATGTGAAGGAAGATTCTACTTTCATTAAACAGTTGATATAAGATATATGGTTACTGTACACTCCAATTTGTAATTTAACTGATTATACATTTGCATTTTGGGCAATAATTGTTAGGGTTTTCTAAAACTGCCCAGTAATTGAATTGTCTCTTTCATGTCTGAGCTGCAGCTTTTATTATTACTACACAGAGACTGATTGGTGATTACAGTAGAGGAAGACCCACCTCCTTTCTAGCAAGTTTTTGAATGTGCTAGCAAGGCATGCATGAGTATTTTCAGAATAAAAGCAGGCATGCATTTCATTGTTTTCTTTATTACAGTGTAAGCTACTTTGATAATCTTAATTGGATGGATAAAAGGAGAGTAGTAACAGGCTTGAAATAACTAATTTTTCTTTAAAACCTCTGCTCTGTGGCTGGCCTATGCAAGTCATGTGACCTAAGGTGTAAGCATGAGCTCTGGGTTCAGAATAGCTTACCCTTCCTCTTAGAGATCACATCATAAAATGGCAAGGCTTTTAATCACTTGACTAGCACAAGTGAGAGTCCATAACAAAGAGGGGAGGTTATCAAAATTGGACCAGCCAGAATTTGGAGCAGCTGTGCATTGCAACCAATCACATCTTTTATTTTCAAAGCTTAACTGGACAAGCTGAAGGTAAAAGCTGATTGGTTGCCATGCACAACCGTTCTAGTTTTGCAAAATTTCCCTCAATGCGTTCTGCAGTAAAAGGTAAGTATTTTTGCTGTGTTGTTACTTGTTATCCATGATAGCAACACTGTTAACAAAATTACTAGCAGCTCTTTATGTAAGCAGATCATAATTTTGGTATTACAGACATGTAATTATTATTTTTGAAATTATTTATCCATTATCAAAGAAATAAGCAAAAGACAAACCAAACTTATAAATGGCTAAATGAGGTATTTACCTGTAACCACTTTTAAGTTTAGGTTCACATCTTTGGGTTTTGTAGGGGTGCGTTCTTTTGAATGGGCTGCTACACCTGCCAGAAGCACAGGGAAAAACTCCCCGATTCTGTTGCCATGGAACAGCACCATGCAGTTTTGCTGAAGTGAAAACTAAGGCTACTTTCACACTGATCTCCCAAAAACACAGCAAAAACACATAGGCATTTTTACCGCGCTTTCTGAGCATTTTTAAAGGACACATGGCTTCTCAGAGGCGTTTTTGAGACGCTTTTCAGGCATTTTCTATTGATTTCAATGGAAGGAGGCATTTTTAGGGCTTTTTTTTTAACTCACCAAACATGCCAAAGAGATGCTGCAAGCAGGAGTTTTTACACTGCAAGTGCAACGCCTCAGTGTGAAAACATACATAGATATACATTCACATACATAGGGAAGCATTTTTCTTGAGCTTTTCAGGCGCTGTTCTTAATGCAAAAACGCTTCCAAAACTCCTCAGTGTAACATTAGCCTTAGAATTATTGGCACCATCATGCATCTGCTAAGGAGCAGCACTGTTTGGCTGTGGGTGCCTTTGGGTGAGGGAACGCATGTATTTACATGCAGCCCGGCACCTACATATGTGCGAATCTAGGCTGAGGAGCACCAAAATGCATTTTAATAACAAGGAAAACAATAACTAGGTTAACAGAAATTTTACACTTTTTAAAATTTTTGCTGGAAAGTATATAACTGTATCTGAAGTTTTATGAGCCCACACCCATTCTGTCACTATGGTAGGAAGCCCTTCTCCACCTCCAGACTCCCACATATGACAGCCAGGCTTTGCTGTGAACTGAGTTCCTTACCAATCAGTATTGTGTTCTCACATACTTTCTTCATAGGGATATATGGAGAGTGCACTCCAGGAAGTTCTGCTTATGGCTTAGCATTTCAAGGCAGTGCTGGTAGTGAATCAAGATTTCATGGAGGCCTAATGGAGGATTAAACCGACTGTCCAAAACTAAACGAATTTGTGGTTTCTAATGTTGTATTACGTTTAGATTAGTGAAGTTACCAGGATGATTTGCCATTAGGATACAAGCTTTGGTAGAATGCTAGGGAGCTCTGGACACACTCCACCTAGTAGTATGTCTAGACACCAAGAATGATAATATGAAATATAAGGATTTATTATTAAAAAAAATCTATTTTAAATCCTGCTATGTAAAAGTGGCCCTTTATGAACATTTTAATGTACTTTGAAATTTAAACCAGTCTGGCCTGATAGTTTACTACGACTCTGTGCATAATTAGTGACTGTTCTTCCTCACATATTTAGATTATTATTATTTGTTCTGGTAATAATGAGCCCTTAATACATTTTACACTAATGTGTACAAGCACAATTATACTGAAGGAAGAACTCAAGGAAGCAATGATTTATCAAAACTCTCCCCTTAGCATAATCTCAGCACTGCAGTTTAAGAGAAACAAACACATTCTTGTGTGGACACAATTTAACATTTTCAAACATGAAGCATGCCTGTGTCACTTCCTTCTCTGCAAGTCACTTCAGCAGCTCTGAGCCACACAAAAATGCATGAGGCCTGGGAACCCTTTGTTCCCTACAGAAGCAAGCTCTGTTTAAACCACTAGACGGCACTATGCAAATAGCACTAATAGGAAAATCACATACTAGAGAACTCACATACAGTGGGGAAAATAATTATTGATCCCCTGCAGATTTTGTAAGTTTGCCCACTTACAAAAAAATTAATGGTCTAAAATTTTTATCGTAGGTGTATTTTAAATGATAGAAACAGAATATCAACCAAATCTCCAGAAAAAAACACATGATACAAATGTTATAAATTGAGTTGAAGTTCAGTGAGTAAAATAAATATTTGATCCCTAACTAAAACAGTACTAGGTGGAGAAACCCTTGTTGGCAAGCACAAAAGGTAAGACGTTTCTTGTAGTTGGTTACCAGGTTTGCACACATCTCAGGAGGAATTTTGTTCCACTCTTCTTTACAGATCTTCTCTAAATCTTTAAGCTTTCTTGGCTGTTGCTTGGCAACTCAAAGTTTCAGCTCCCTCCATAAAATAGGATAGGATTTAGGTCTGGAGACTGGATAGGCCACTCCGTGACCTTAATGTGCTTCTTCTTTAACCA